TATATAATTCCACAATTTGGATGAGTCGCAATTAAAAACAGGTCTGAAAACATCCAGGTCTGTCTCTTCCAGCATTATACATTATATAAGTTTATTTTTTTATAGTCATAAATTATGATTTATATTGATTAATCATGATTAATCAGAAAGGGAAAGAAGGCAAGGTGTAAATGCTTTTTGTCTTTCTTTAGTCAAACGTAAGACAGGAATCAATGTTTGCACTTTACCTTTCATTGAAAACTGACCATAGCCCACAATTAACACTATTAAAAATACACCTTGTAACATGTCTATGTACACTCAGATTTAAGGCATGCAGTTTTAGGCGGGTATGTGTATGTGTATTTCTTTCTGTGATTTTTCAGGATTTTTTTTATGTACATCTTGCGATATTAATTTGAAATATGTTCATAAGTAGTGATGATGATGCACTAAATATATATTATTTTATTTCCTAGTTATAAGATGGAATTTCATATTTATTTATAGAGAGAGAAAACAAAAAAAAGATTATGTTCACTATGTGTTTGTTAAGCTAACACAGTAAGATAAAACAATAAATTGTATATAGAAATAAATTAAATAATAATTACATCTGTAGCAATTATATCTGGCAACAGATGACACAAATTACATTATGGGATTAACGGGGCTCAACCTGTGAGCCACAGCACAAGGATTGTTCCTGTAGAAGAAGTAAAAAAAAAAAAAAAGAGACTGACAGATGAGGACAGCATCCAATCCCACTCGTGGGTATCTCCCATGGCAACTGTCAGTCACTTTTGATTATAATATTTCTTTACACGTTTATATTTTGACGTTTATCCTGACACACCAACAATACTGTCATTTCTGGCAGTTTCTCATCACACTGCTCTATATTTTTTTCTGCTTCTATTCAGGTGTTGTCACTTATTTAAATACTGTAACCTCTCTGCATCACCTCATCTGCACCAAATGACAACATGCTTTGGTGTCAGGCAGAGCTCGGTTTTGAAAGACATCACCCTGCTAGTGTCACCTCATGGTATTCACGCCTTATCTACAACATAGTATCCAGTGGTGTTATATTCCCAGTGTGGCAGTCAAACCGGAAAAATGCTGCGGACTTGCTGGACACTGGAAGAACCCTAGGCCTCACAAACACGCAGAACATTTTATAAGATGCAGATAAACTTTTTTGAATCTGTGCCCTGAACAGAACTTTGGTTTAAGTCACGGCCAAATTTAATATAGCATTACAACACATGGTTTTTTAGTAGATCAATGGTAATGTAAAATATATGATGATATATTTAGAGTAAACTGAAAACAACTTTTTTTTTTTTTTACACAACACTTCTGTTATAAAAAAATTGAAAACAACTTGGAATTGCTGATTTTCCCATTTGAAACAATCTCTTTGTCCAAATAAGGTAAATTTAATTTGTTTGGTACTGGATTTTGGTGCAGAAGTGAAGGTTAAAGTAACTTTTTTTTTCTAGTTACTCCATTGATTTTCTTTTTTGTGAAAGCAGTTTTTTTACCCTACACAAAGAGCACAGTCAGCCTCAACAGATGTATCAACATTTAGTTGTACTTCAGGAATATCTGAAGTACAACACAAAAATCTCCAGGCTCTCTTCAAGAACAAGCTGTACAATAGGCATGAAATAGAGTATTCTTCTGTATACACACACACACCATTCTGACCAGGTCCAAAGGATATCCGTATACAGCTGTACTGTATGTAATGACAGGTTGGGATGAAACGATGTCCATATTAAGAAAAGAACTGGAGTTATCGCCTGAACTGAATCCAAAAACTGATCGAACGTCTAAAATCTGTGGAAGGATGAATCATACAGAAGCAGCTCGACATCAGCGTTAACAACTATTGAACAGCACCCTCAGCTAGCAGTACTTGTAGCTACGTGAGCATTGACCTAAAATGACTGCACGCTGTTCTTTCCTACTGTCAGCGAATATTTCATTATATCCCTGCCGCTCTTACCTTCTCTGTTCGCTAACTGACTGCAGCAGGATTTTCATTAGGTGAACGTGGAGCTCGGCGTTTTAACTGCCTCCAGTAATCACCTTTACAGTTTGGCGGCAACTCTGCAAGTAACGTTCTCTCTCCGGTTGAAAAGCATCGGTTTACACTTCCCATCTAGGGCAGTTTAATAAGCCCAGAGATGTATGACGGTCTAATAGGAAGTTTTCTGACAAGAAAAGGTGTTAAACGACATTAGCATCTACGGCATGATCTGTAATTGTACACTTCTTTTGATTTAACTTGAAAGCACTGGCTTTGGTTGAATATGTGCCGTGGTAACACGGTGTTGCTGATTTTATTACACTTGTCAGGGTGTGTAACTAATCTATTTCTTTTTTTTTTTCCTGTTTCATAATTCTGCTCAGCCCTGTCTAGATAATCAAAATTCATTTCCTCTACCCTCTGGCACTCTCCCGTTGCTCCCCTCTCTCCATCCTGCCATATTGGTTCAGACATAACCTTCTCATTTTCGTCAACCCTGTCCTGTCAATCACTGTCTTTGGTCTTCACAGCTCTCTCTGTACCTCTCAAAGGGCCGCTGTCTCCCGTCACTCGCCCCCCCGCCC